TTCTTCCCTGGGCTGCCCCCCATCGTCCCCGCTCGTCGACCCTGAGGTCTAGGCGTTTTCCTGACGCACTGGGCGTGTTCGCCTAGTTCTGGCCCCAGGGCCCTCACAGCTCGATCAGGTTCGGGATATGCCGCAGAAGCGCGGGGTCGAGGCCTCCAGTTTTGGCATTTGGTCACCTGTCTGTTTTTTGGCGACGTCGGATCTCGGGTGATGTCGTCGGCTTAGAGATGTTGTGCCGTTTCTGGGAGGATCTCGTCGCCACGTAGGGGCAGAGCTCAAAAGGGTAGTTGGCCAGGGCTGGCGCCGGGACGGGTTCGAGGACCGATCTTGAACAGATTTCGGAGTCCTGCGCGGCCGTCGTCATCGTATGGCCGCCGTCGCCTTCGCCTGCGTCGTGGTCAGCATGGTGGTCGTCGCCGCCGCCGTCGGCGCCGTTGTCGCGGTCGTCGCCGCGGCCGGGTCGGTCGCCGCCGCGGTTGCTGGTCGGAAGAACCACGCGGAGAGGGATGTTCGCCGACGCCAACCTCAGTGACACCAGCACCGACTGCAGCACCGTCATCAGCAGCACCACCGCTGACGCTGACGCTGACGCTGGCCACAACTCTGACACCGGCGCCAGCCGGGTCGGCGCCGTCACCAGCATCGGCACTGACGCTAGCAACATCGACGACGCCAGCACCGCCGCATGCACCAACTCCAGCAACGCCACTTGCAGCATTGACGACACTACCAGCTTCGGCATCGACGCCAGCAACACCGACGCCTGCTCGGAGGACGTCACCAGCGCGAACACGTACGCCAACAGCATCAACGCCAGCACCAAGTCCAGCACCGCGATCAACAGCAGCAATGCTGACAAGGACGCTTACAATGATGCCAGCAGCATCGACGCTGGAAGGTTGCAGCTTTTTCTGAAAACTCTGACGGGGAAGACCGTCGTGCTCAACGTGGCGGCCAACTCCACGATTGGGGACGTCAAGGCGAGCATCCACACCTCCCAGGACATCCCACCAGACCAACAACGCCTGGTTTCCAGCAACAAGCAATTGGAGGACAGCCGCACCCTTGCGGACTACAACATCAAGAAACACGCAACGATGCACTTGATGCTCCGCCTCCGCGGTGGTGGACCAGAAACCCTGCTCACGGCATTACATTCGTGCCAGCGCCATGCTTGTCCACTCTTCGGTGCCGTGGCACCAGGCGCGGGCCGATGCCCATCCTGCCACCAGGAACGGCACTTGCAGGCACCAGCGCCGCCACCTACGACGCCGCAGCCTTCGTCAAGTTTTTCGAGTGCCTGCCTGCCAGCCTCCATGGACCTGGAGGGTGAGACCACTCTGACGCAGCAGGCCGCCGCTCTCAATATCGAAGCCCCGCCTGACCTGCCCCGCGCTGCGCGACGAGACGCGCTGCAAACCACCACAGCAGCCATGGACGCCGATGCTCAGCCCCCGCCTCGCACGACCATCACCGACTCCGAGTTGCAGGACTTCTTCGAGCAAGAGGCCCTCCGGTACTTCGCACTCGTTCGTGCCAGCAGCCTCACCCAGCCCGACGACGTACGGCGCACCACCATCGAGTCCCCTAGCAACTGGGAGCGTCTCGAGCACATCCTGCATCGACTCGCTTACCGTCCAGAATCCGCAGACCCTTGGACTGTGCTCGGCCTCGGCCCCCTCGATGGCCCGGAACCCGAGGAGGTGGACATCTGCGCCCGCACGCGGGCGGCTCGCACGCTGTGTTCTCTCGCGCGAGACATGGCGTGGGAAGAGGGCGACCTTCGCAAGGCCCAGGCCGTCGATGCAACCTTCGTCGCTGCTGGTGCCAAGTGCGAGGAGCTGCTCGCAGAAGCCAGGCGCGCGCGCTGCCGCACCCGCCCGGCCAAACTCCCCCGGTGGAAGGAGCTGGGCACGAACGCGCTTGCGGCCGTCTCGTCCCATCTCGCCCCTGGCAACACACAGTTCGTCACGCAATGGTCGCAGCTCTTGGATGCTACCACCGACCGCTCGCAGACCATCCAGTCCCACCGGCAGCGCAGCGCTCTGTTGGAGCAGGGCGACGAGCAGGCCCTGCGGCTGCTTGCAGGTCAGAGGGTCCTCGCCTGGGCACCTGAGAGCAAAGATGCCCTTGGCAGGATCCACGCGCAGCTTCTTCGGTCCGAGCCCGACTGTGCACCAGAGGCCCTCTACCTCTTGGCGCCCGTGCCGCACTTCTATGGGGTCGACACCGCTGCCAAGCTCCTCGACCTCTGGACTCACCCCCTGTTAGGGGAGAGGTTCGCCGCCACAGTCAGGAACGTCACGATCGTCGTGCAGCCACTGGAATACGTGCTTCCCAGCCCCCGTGGGCCGCGGCATGTCCGTCAAGGGCTCGCCTGCTTCCACCTGTCGCCGAGCGGGCTTCGCACCGCCCCCAGCGTGGCTACCCCGCTCACACCCCTTCTGCAGGTGGAGGAGTACAACTCCTTCATCGTGGACGCGCACACGGACCACGTCCCCGAGATCATGCGAAAACTCGCCGACCCGCGCTACGCTGGCATCTTGGCGAGGCACCCGACGCGCAGCCCGAGCAGCACCGACGCCAGGAGCCGAGTTTGATTGGAGCTCATCTTCACTGAGCGTCTCTCCGACATGGCCATGGAGATGCGCATGCGGGACATCAAGCGCCGCGTCCTGACGATCGACAGCTACATTGGCCTGAAGTCCTTGTACACAGACCCGAACGCGCTCATTCTTGAATGATTTTCCCCGCTGGCCGTGGCAAAGGTCAGCTCGCTCTGCTCGCAGCTGATCTTCCTTACCAGCGATAGGGTCCTGCTGCTCGCGGGGGCCTCGACGGAAACGCGGGCGCAGTTGCTGAACGACGCGGCGAAGGAGGACGAGGCGCTCACAATTACGTGCCTCCGCTGGAAGGCTAGCAAGTATGGGGGGGGCGCCATTTCGCCGCTATCGACGCTACTGCTAGCGCGCTTACGGCGTCCCGCCGCCGGAGGAATCGCAGGGGGAAGCCGGATGCGATCGTCGACCACTGAGTCGACCACATCACCGAGCTTCGGAACAATGGCGAGATCGGCCATGACAGCAAGGGGGTCATCAGCAGACTGCTGCAGCACGCCTGCCACGACCAGGCTCTGGACCTCCATCCAGCGCAAGACGCGCGCCGCCCACAGATCGGCACTTGGGTGCACCTCTTGGACCTCAACCCCACCGCCCCCCCAGGCCACGCGCGGGTGTACCTGGGCAGCAGCGCTGACGTTCGCAAAGTCTACCAGGCGTTGCATGGGCAGGTCCTCAAGATCGGCACCGACACGGTCTCCATCACTGTGCTGAACGACGCTCTGGAGGCCACTTCTATTTCGGGAAACGGGACGCGGGGGAGCTGAGGGGTAGCTCTCCCGCTGCGTCGACCTCCGCGTGCCCCGGCGCATCCATTGGAATTCAGATTTTTACTTGCAGCGGCACCTCCTTCTGGATCTTGGACGTCGTTATCGCTCTCCGCTCCGCCGTCGCGGTGCCGAGTGCGACCTTCCGCGTCTCTCCCAGTTCTTGGGCGCCTACCTCCAATTCGGCCACTTCTGTTTCTTCGTTTACTTCTTCTGCATCGCCGTATCTTTACCTTCCTCTACAGCACCTGTACCCAATGCGACCCCCGACCAGCACGACGACGTCCCTCTCTGTCTCCTGCTTCGCCGGAAGCTTCATCGTGACCTCGGCGTGGATTGTCCACAAGATGTCCGCCCCTCGAGGGACTCAATCCCAGACGCGGCCACTCGACGATCGACCCACCGCCCGCACTGGCCTTACAACGGTGACGTTTCGATAGCCACATGGAATACCCAGGCGCTGTTCGCGACGAGCCCGTCGTCTTTTAAGAATAAGTCTGGGTACGTGCACAAGCTTATGACTACCGGCGACGTCGGCCTCTGGACGGAGACGCACGGTACGGCAGGCGGCAATGCTGTCTGGGCGAATCCGGTTGGTTGCCAGTCACGGTGGGCCCCTGGACCCACCGCTGCTGCTGCTGGGGTGGGAATCATTGTCCAGAACGAGTTCCTCGCCCTCTTCGACCCCGCACCCACGTGGGAGATCATTATGCCAGGTCGAGCTGCCAGGCTCCGTCTACGGGGCCCGCTCGGCAATCTCGATTTGCATGTCATGTACTTTCACACGGGCTGCGAGGTCAAGCGCCGGGATGCCATCGACGCCGGCTTGGATGACATGGACCCCCTGCCGCCTTTTTTAGAACTACGGGAGGCGCTTCGTCGGCGCCTCTCCACGCACATCGCTTCGAAGGATACTGCGCTCAGCATCCTCGGCGGCGGCATGAATTTCGTGGCCGACTAGAAGGATAGGATGAATTTGACTCGCATGATTCCGTCTGGAGCCCGCGACTCACGAGGAGGCCCGCTGGGGCGCTCTGGTTGCACGGCCGCGCGGGCTCCACGAACTTTACCAGCCCAACATGACGTACGCATCGCCCAACGCACGCTCTCGACTCGACAGGCTGCACTGCAATCAGGAGCACGCGCACTATCTGGACTACAACATGTCTTGCGCGGCCCTGCAGCGGTGCCCCAAGGAGCTATCCCGCCACAGGGCAGTCAGTTTCCGCCGCGCGCGGCCGTGCCGCGACGCAGCATTCTTGCAGCCGCTCGCCGACCACGTCGTCGACCACCCCGGCTGGCCATCTAAGGTGGCTTTAGCTCTTGGGGAGCTGCTCGACCAGGATCCCGATGCATCTGCTTTGAAAAAGGTGCCGTTGCTCAAGGAGGAAATGCGGTCTGCTGCCACCCACCTGGATATGCACGCGCCCAATGTCACAGGCGCGTTGACCACGGAGGATCGGCTGGGAACGACGATGCGATTCTTGCGAGCTTCGGAGCGGCAGTCTCCGAGCACGATCGGTTCTTGCATCTCCCGCAACCCCGCCTTGTGCACGATGGTCGACAACCCGTGCGACTTCACCGCCCCGCCCCAGGCGCGGCTCAGACGCATCCGTCAGCACGCGCTCGACCTGGCGCGCGACCACTCGCTCGAGGAGCTCAATCAGTTGCACGGCGAGTTAGCGAACCTACCCCCCGAGCAAGCCGCGCAGCGCCGCCGACGGGTCCATCGGCTGACCCACCGCCTCGCCCCGGGCCGCAGCTGCGCGACCTTCGCGATCTGGGCCGGCAGGGCCACGCGACCACCGACCCATCGGCGATGGCCTCCACCCTGCGGGACCACTGGTCGACGGTGTTCGCGGCCCAGGACACTGACGCAGACTTGCGCGCACGATGGTTGCGCGAGGAGGCGGAGCACATCCCGCCAGACGCGGCACGACGCCGGCCCTTCGCCACGCCTACCCGGGACCATTTCAAGAAAGCCCTCCGCTTCTCGAAGAGTAGCGCCCCAGGCCCGGACGGCGTTGCATTCCGGGCGTGGCGCAAGCTTGGCGATTTAGGGACCGACGTTCTTCGCGAGGCGTTCTGCCTTCTCACCTCCGACGCTACGCTGGGAGCACTTGATAGGGATTGTCACGCCTTCAACGAGAGCCTCCTTGTCTTCTTGCCGAAGAAGCCTTCCCACGAGATAGAGGACGGCATCCTAGCCTACGAAGCGCCCAACGCCAGACCGCTCAACATCACAAATGCTGACAGCCGGCTTATCTGCAGCGCGGTTCGGCTATGCATTGAACCGCAGGTTGCCCCAGCGATAGCCGGCGAGCAGCGGGGCTTCATCAACGGACGCTCGATGCTGGCCAACGTCGTTGACGTGGAGGCGTCGATGTTAGAACACGCATGTGCTTCGCCAGCGGCAGCCGCGGTGTTCTTTGACTTCGAGGCCGCCTTCCCGAGCGTCTCGCACGCCTTCCTTCGCGACGTCCTCGCGGCAAAAGGGTGGCCGCCTTGGATGCGCACGTTCGTTGATGGACTATATTGGAACAACACCTGCAATATCTCTCTGGGTGGCCACAGGCACGAGGGATTCACACTTTGTTCTGGGGTTCGCCAGGGCTGCCCCCTCTCACCACTGCTATTCGCTGTTGTGTCGGACGTTCTTCTTCGGCGCATCCTGCGATTGACTCCGCTAGCCACGCTCCGGGCATACGCGGACGACATCGCCGCCGCACTCCCGAACGCCCTCACCGAGGCAGGCATTCTGGAGCGCGTCTTCACGGAGTACCGCGCAATTTCTGGCTCGCGGCTGCGCCACGGGAAGACGGCATGGGCCCCCCTCGCGCTTCACGACGAGGGGGGCGTCCGGGACGACCTACAACAACATGTGCGCGTCTGGAGCGATTTTGCCATCCAACGACACGCCACGCACCTTGGATTCTGCGTGGGGCCGAGCAGGGGAGACCAATCGTGGACGAAAGCGGTCGCCAAGTTCCAGGAGCGGGCCCAGCTCTGGCAGCAGGTCGGATGCGGCCCCTTCAACACCATCCTCGCTTACAGGATCTACATCGTTCCCGTCCTCTGCTTCCTCGCACAGCTCCTGAACCTTCCACGGAACTGGGAGGACATCGAGCGCAAGGTGTGCAAAACACTTTTTCGGGGCCCAAGGGTCTGGACCTCCCCGTGCATGCTTCGCAACCTCCGTTTCCTGGGCGTCCAGCCTGAGCTGCCGAACTTGTTCGACATCGCTACGGTCGCAAAGTGCCGGGTGGTCCGGCGGGGGAACGCGGGCCAGGGCGGCTTGGACATCGTGCGTCGCCACAGGGACATGGAACGAGTTATCGGGGACAGCTCATTCATGCATCGTCTGGCTCACTGGCGCGAGTGGGTCGACGCCAACATCCTTGCGAACTTGGCGCGCGCATGCGCCAGGCTACAGCGGGCTGCCCAGAACGAGTCCCTTACCGCCTCCGCCCTGCTTCGCGGGCAATCGCCGCGCGACGTGGCCCAGAAGGACTGGCAGAAGACGGTCGTCCTCCGCTTGGGGACCGGTGAGCGGGAGTTGGTCTACCGTGAGCTCCGCCGGCACATGGACCACTTCCCCCTCCTCCTTCTCCCTGGACGCCGAGATGCCCGCGCAGTCGGGCTTCTGCGAGGTATTGCCCAAGATGTCCCCCCCAGGGTGTGGTTTGCCACGTTCCGCGCGCTTTGCAACGGCTGGGTCACCAGAAGTCGTTTTGGGGATACCGCCGCCTGCACTTTCGGATGCGGCCACCACCAAGATTCATTGCGACACTACGCGGCGTGCCCGGTATTGTTGGACTTCGCCCAGCGGAAGCTTGGTCTCCAACGGGCTACGCCAACGGACCGCCTCGACACTTTTCTCGCGCTCCACACGCCACGCAATCAGCAGTCGGCCACCGAGCTCGCGAAGCGTGCGTTGTTCCTCTACGCCGCGCACTCGGCAAGTTGTGACAGACGTCATGGGGGCGCCGCCGACGCCGCAGAAGCACTCCTACAGTACGCACGCGAGGCGGCCGCTGGTCACCATGGCCTCCGTCGCGTACTGGCTGCCACGTGGGCCCGGTAGCGCGCGGCTGCAGCCCGCGGGCGGCGCGTGAGATGCCAGGGAGGCGCCGCTGGCGGCGCCAGCGCCGCCCGTTGTCCCTTCTTCTGCTTTCTCCTCCTCTTCGTCCTCTCCTTCTCCTGCGGGCTTCCGCTGACAGTGCCTCTTTTTGGTGCCGGCCGCTCGAAGTTGTGCAAAATAGGTGGTGCATGCCCTTGCCCCGACGCTTGTGCACCACCCCACCCTTCCTTCGTTTTGCCGCCTCTGTGATGCATCGCGCCGCACGCGTGTAATATTTGCTTCCTGTGTGTTGCATACCGCCGCGCGTCACTTCGGAGCAACGAAATTCGTGACATTTTCGTTGCGTCTTGCACTGGGGTGCGATTTATTTTTTCCGAGCGGATAGACTCGGTGACGTTAGTGCGAGGCAGCCTCTGTCCCGGCCGCGTGGCCGATAGTGCCACGGATGGGCCGGTACTCCCAAATTCCGCCAGTGTTTAGGAGAACGCCCTGTGAAACACTGTGTGGCGGTATCCTTGTTTCTGACACAGCTACTTTCAATGCGAGGCAGCCTCTGTCCCGGCCGCGTGGCCGATAGTGCCACGGATAGGCCGGTACACCCAAATTCCGCTAGTGCTTAGGAGAACGCCCTGTGGAACACTGTGTGGCGGTATCCTTGTTTCTGACACAGCTACTTTCAGTGCGAGGCAGCCTCTGTCCCGGCCGCGTGGCCGATAGTGCCACGGATAGGCCGGTACACCCAAATTCCGCCAGTGTTTAGGATAACGCTCTGTGAAACACTGTGTGGCGGTATCCTTGTTTCTGGCACAGTTAGTTTTCAATGCGAGGCAGTTCCCCCTCCTCCGCCTTGTGTTGTTTCTGTCGTCGTTGGTCTGGTCCTCTTGCCTCCCCCTCCTCCTCTTCTGGAGTGTGGCCGTTTTTCTTTTATTTTCTCCCAGCTGTGGGTGAGCAGCCAAAGGGCTGCAGGTGAGGTATTCTTCGGCTTCCGATGTGACTGCACACGCTCGTGCCTGGCCGCCATCTGGGACTGCGGACGGTTCCCATGGGGTTATGCGACTCATAACTCATCGCTGCCATACTCCAACAGGTGCTCCTGTGCCGTCTCCCTCGTTTTCCTCTCTCCCTTCCCCCTCCCGGTTTCACCGATACGACTTGGAGTTATACGTATCGTCCTAGGTTGGGTTCCTAGGAAGGGTCAGAACAACTTTGCTCCACCTGTTGGCTCCGCTGTGCAGCTTTAGTTTTTCCTTCTTCCTTCCGCCTCCTCTTGCTCCTCCTCCTTTTTCCAGCCCGGGTCCGGGGCGATCGTGTTTTTGTCTCCGCTACGCTCTGCATTGCGGTCGGCTGCGATTGTGTGTCATTTAAGTGCGGTTGGGCGCCACAAGGGCTTCACACAATGCATGCTGTCCAATTTTGATAGCGCTGCGAGCGGTTTCGAATTCTGTCCGCTTCGATCCTCTCTGCTTTCCTTAAAAAAAATAAATAAATAAAAAACACAATAAAAATACATAAAAAAACAACATTTTTTTTTTTTTTTTTTTTTTTTTTTTTTTTTAAAAAAAAAAAAAAAAAAAAAAAAAAAAAAAAAAAAAAAAAAAAAAAAAAAAAAAAAAAAAAAAAAAAAAAAAAAAAAAAAAGGCGGAGAGGGATGTTCCTCATTTTCGGCCTCTAGGGCCTCTAGGGGCTGGTTTCGGTCCCCAGGGCCATCAAAAAGTTGTTCGGGCTGAAAATCGGCGGCGAGCGAGGTGGGGAAGTGAGAAGGAGAATGCCTTCTCAGAAGGCGGTGGGGCTTCTCAGAAGCCGTAGATCCTAGGGAAGAGGTCGAGGAAGCGGCTGGCGACGGGGAGTTTCTTGCCGAGGAGGGGTTTCCGTGACAATCGCGCCAGAGAGTTCTGCAAATATCAGCCTCTTGGGGCTCTCGTACCCCGAATGAGAGATCGATCCGGGATGAGAAACTGATTGGGATGGACCCCAGGAGAATTCGGGGGGCCGATCGACGATCGAAGGTCGGAGATCATGGCTTGCATTAAAGGTTCATATCATGTGGAACCACCTGGGGTGTTCTCGTCGGGACGCTTGTGTGCCCTTCGGAGTCCTGGCCAAAACGCCATCGTCGAATCCCTTGTCGCCGTCGTCGTGGTCGTTCTCGTTGCTGGCGCTGTCGCCGACGCCATCCCTGTCGCCGAGGTCGTGTTCGTTTCCGCCGCCTGCGCCCCCGTCGTCGTCCTCCACCTGCTTTTCGTCGACCTCCTGCTCCTCCCCCTCCTCGTCTTTATCGATGTCCGTCTCCTCTCCGCCACCTCCTCAAGCTCCCCATCCTGATGGGGCCCGATACCCCCCCCCTCCGTCTTCTATCGCACCCCCTTTGGGTGGTCTCCTCCTCACGGCGGGGGCGACCTCGGACCAGCAAGCTGACGGGCAAAACCACACGGGCAGACCCTGAGTTGGGCGGACCTTTGGGGCTCCTGGGGAGGTCTTGGGGGTCTCTTGGGACGTCCTGAGCGTCGAAAGTTGGAAGAGTGGAAGCCCACAAACACATTGAATAATCCAGAGAACATCCATGACCTGGGGACTCGACGTCGGGCGGTCAGGCGCTCCATAAGTTGGGCGGTCGGGCGGTCGGGAGGACCTTAAGTCGGGCGGCTGGGCGGCCGGGCCAGGGCGGCCCCCAATTCGTGCCAGGTCGGGCGGGGTGGTCTGGTCAAGCGGACCTCAGCGCGGGCGCTCGGATCGGGTCGGGCGGAGCAATGCTCGGGAAGAGGGGGGAAGAATGGGGGACGGAGGGAAGGGGTGTTTGTTTGAGTCTACACTGGCCAAACCGTGTCTACACCGGCCGCGTGGTTTCCCTGATCAAATGGTTTTTTCACCAGCTGGAGGTGTCAAACGAAATATAGGTTGTGCTCGCTGTTGTGAAGTGGAGTGCTTGGGTACACATCAGGCTGTACATGAGAGTTCTGGGCTTCCAGTGTTTTTCGTCATTTCTGACTGGCCGGTATACTGAGCAATCTGGCAGTGTAGTGACAGTTCGAAGTCATTGGTGATGGTATTGGTGATGATGGTGATGATGACGATGATAGTGGTAGTAGTGGTGGTGGTGGTGGTGGTGGTGATGACGATGGCGATGACGATGGCGATGACGATAACGATGCCGACAGTGATGACGATGACGATGGCGATGATATGATGATGATGATGATGATGATGATGATGATGATGATGGTGGTGGTGGTGGTGGTGGTGGTGATGATGATGATGATGATGATGCTGATGATGGTGGTGGTGGTGATGATGGTGGTGGTGGTGAGGAAGAGGATGATAGTGGTGATGATGATGATGATGACGACGACGATGATGATGATATGATGATGATGATGATGATGATGATGATGATGATGATGATGATGGTGGTGGTGGTGGTGGTGGTGATGATGATGATGATGATGATGCTGATGATGGTGGTGGTGGTGATGATGGTGGTGGTGGTGAGGAAGAGGATGATAGTGGTGATGATGATGATGATGACGACGACGATGACGATGATGATGATGATGATGATGACGATGATGATGATGATGATGATGATGATGATGATGGCGTTGACGGTGATGAGAATGATGGTGATGATGATGCAGATGGCGATTGTGATGGTGATGGTGGTGATGGTGATGGTGATGGTGATGATGGCGGTGATGGTGATGTTGATGATGGTGATGATTATGCTTATGCCTGGTGCTGCTGATGATGATGGTGACGAAGCTGATGATGATGCTGATGATGATGACGATGATGATGATGATGATGATGATGATGATGATGGTGGTGGTGGTGGTGATTACGATGATGCGTGTTGTCCTGATGATGGTGATGATGATGCTGACGATGATGCTGATGCATATGATGCGCACGATGATGCTCATTTCGCAGGTCCGCATCTCATCACCGCAGGTGCTTGGTGGGGGAGGGGAGGCTTGATGGGGGGAAGGGGAGGGCAGGGGAGGGGAGAGGGGAAGGATGAGAAGGTCGTCGCATGGGGTAGAGCGGCATTTGAACATCCATCAGTTAAACAACAGTTTGCCTTTGGGGAGCTCACTTTGGTCTCCTTCAGTTGCCGATCTCCCTTTTATAAAGAAGCTGCCGCCTCTGCCGCCGACTCCAAAAACGTCCATCTAGGCTTGTTCGCCTCATGTGCGCGTTCGAACCAGTTGTTGCCTGTCCATTTGTTGGTTTGTGAGTGCGTGGCCGAAGCAGGTGACGGCATGCGACAGAGCCGCGCGAGGGACATCGAACTTGCGTTCGGAGTGACATGCATCTAGTGGTCTTCGGCCCATCCCGCCACTGTGCCTGGCTTGAGGGTCAGACGCGTCTAGGAGGAACTAGAAAAGTGCACAGAGACTCCAATATTCAAGAGCCCTCGAGCGGGAGCCTCGTCTGTGAGTGAATCGCGAGGCAGTCTTGAGCGGGAGCCCCCTCCCTACGGGGCCCGCGCATCTGAGGTAATCCGAGGGGGGCATCGGACATGTTCAAATTCGTTCTTTTTGGGGTCCCTTAGGGTTACAATTGGGAAGATTCAAGCGGGAGCTTCGTCGGTGTGTGAATCGTGTGGAAGTCTCGAGCGGGACCTTTCGGAATGTATACACAATCCCGGGAGGCCTCCGAGCCATTAGGAAACCGTAGGAGGGCCACAGGAGTCTTTCAGGAGGCCACATGCTGCCCAGGAGGTTACAAGAGGAGGCAGGAGGCCCACGGGGGAAAAAACAGGCGGAGGAGGAGGAGGAGGCATGATGAGGAGGAATACACTGATGAAGCAGACATGGAAGAGGATGCGGAGGAGGGGGGAGGGGGCAGGAGACAGGAAGAGAAGGAGGAGGATAATGCAGGAGGCAGGGGGCAGGAGAAGGAGAAGGAGGAGGAGGAGGCATGGGAAGGAGGAGGCGCCACGAGGCGGAGGAGGAAGCAGGAAACGGAGGAGGAGGAGGAGGCATCAGGATTAAGCAATATGATGGGGGAGTGAGCAGGACAAGGAAAGAAGAGGGG